ACCTGGGGAAAACACACACACACACACACACACACACACACACACACACACACACATAGACTCAGCACTCCAGAAAAACCAATAACATTTGTCATTGCCATTGGCATAGACCATGTTGCTTCCGCCTCTTCCTTCACTTGATCCTTGCCACTGCCTTAGTTGTCATTCTCCCCATTTGATAGTTGAAAAGAGAGAGGCTGAGAGAAATTTCAGGGACATATAATGCTGTCGTTTTCCTCTCAGAGAGGGTGGAGCCTTTGCTCATACACCTCCAGGACAGGAGAATCATGATCTACTGAGGTGGCTCACTGTGGTGCCTGTCTTCCACAGCAGGCTGGTGATCAGGTGTCATTCTCAGTGTGACCCAGACAGATTGAGACCTATTACCTGTTCAATCCCACATTTAGGTTCCAAGAATGTCAGAGTTGGCCTAAGTAATCCTTTCCCTGAACATCTGGGGAAACTGGTGCGCTACGGGAGGGGACTCGCCCGAAGCAACCTCTAGTAACACTGAGGCTGGCTTCTGCTGGGGCATTATGCCACTGTGACATAATGAACTGGAGGCACCTTGATCCCCAGTCTTCTGCCTTCATTAGAGGATGGCATACCGAAGGGTTGGCACCAAAGGGTTTGGCACACACTAAGCATTCAGTAGAATGAAAGAGTAAATATGAAAGGGATGGAATGACTTGAGGCTGGGCTGAGGCTGGGCTGGGTGTAGCACAGGGCAAGGATTAAGGTTTATATCATATCTGCTGTCAGGCTGTGGGAGAGGAGGCTGGGGCTGGTGACAGAATCCGGACTGGGATGAATACTGGGGAATGGGTGGGTAGGTAAAGCCAGGAAAGCATTTGGTGTTCAGGTCAGGAAGGGGACCCTGGTGGGCACTTGGATGAGGACTGGGACAGAGTCTGGATGGAATTCCTTGTGAATGCTTGGAGCTGTACTTTTCTGTCAGGATAAGGGCTGATGTGCGATTTGGAGTTGGGTTGAGGGTGGTGGTAGAATGAAGTCTGGAGTGGGGAAGAGAGTGAGAGGTTTGCGGTGGAGCTGAAGTAAGATTCAAACATGGTTCTAAACAGTGGTCAGGATGAGGGAACGGACCTGGACGGGGATTTAGGCTCAGACGTTGGGCCGGTGATACGGTGAGAGTAGAGTCAGTCCTGGGCACGGGCGTGGAAGGGGGGATGAAGGGCGTTGGTGGATGCTTGGATGAGGGGTGCGGCTTCGCCAGGAGCTGGGCAGAGGGTGAGGTGAGGCGGGGCCAAGGCTGCGGTAGGGTTCAGAGTGGGGTTAGGGCCAGGGCCAGTACCTGAGCCACCACATGTAGTTGTGCTCGTAAGGGAAGAAGCTGTACGGGTCGTCGCAGCAGTACTTGTGGTCGCGGAAGCCGCAGCAGAAGATGTTGGTCATCTCGCCCCCCGGGCGCGGGCAGCTGAAGCCGAGCACCACCTCCTGCTTGGCGCTCAAGTAGCCGGTGCAGTCGCCGCTCATCGCGCCTCGGGCCGCGGACGGCGGGGCGACCGAGACCAAACA